GGAGTCAATTTACTAAGTCAAACTTCTTTTAAGTGATAGTTTAACATATAGAAACGTAATTTGTATAACAGCTGATTTTAGCATAGTTACTTGATTGTGCTTTAAAATAGCTCTATGTGCCTGGAAAATATAAACTACAGTCCCTTTAATGTGACAGTAAGGGAAGAATGGTTGTCTTTTATAGTGAATGTAAATGCACAGTACTAAGACTTTTATGTTCTCATCTTTACATTTTAAATGCAGGACAGATCCATAATGGTGTGACTGAGTGACTTTTGGCCAGTTCTGTCAATTTGTGGAGAGTATTTTTATATTTCTTATATTTTCTTTTAACTTAATCCATACTGCTTTCTGAACTGTAGCAATGGGCGTTTTCAATTCAAAACTTAACCCTAAAACAAGGCAACAATATTAACATTTGAAAAAATGCTGCCTTTAAAATATATTTTAACCTAACATATTAAGTACACTATTTACCAAAACCAAGGACAGAAACTGTGGTTTGTGTATCTATGAATTTTCTTGAACAACTGCTTGAACTCAACTGTCTTTTAGACTTTTTTTATTTTAAAACAAGTTAGAGACCCTATTGCCTTATTGTCTATTTTAAATTAATTAAAGCCTTAGATTTTGAAAATTTATCTGATGTGAATTCTGTACAAGTTACTTGTCTTGACTGTGTATGGTACTGCCAGGAGAAGTTTTCTCAACTGGTCAAAAAATGGTTTTGAGAGGAAACAGCGACTCTCTCATATTGAACAGATGGTGCATAGCCAGATGTCACTGAGCTGGAAAATATAAATTGGACTGCATTGGTCCCGGGCATGGAGTTAGTTCAAGAGGGCAGATGTTAAGTCTTCTCATTTTATTTTCAAAGACGTAATTTAAGAATAGCTCAGGATCAGATAGAAGGCTCACGCTGCAGGGGTCAGTGGAGGGAAAAGCAAGTCAAGTTTGGGCTGAAGGGCCTGGAGGACGAGCGTCGGCCGTCATCACTCTTTCTGTGACGCGAACAGAGGAGGGCAGAGAGGTAAGATCAATCTCTGTGGGTCAGAAGGAGAAGACTGGATTCATGGGATAATTGCCAGTAAATAGGAGTAGAGATAGGAGGAGATGAAGTACTAAACTGCTTACAAGAAAGCCAGACGTGGAATTTTTATCCAGCAGCCTGAAGGGCTGTCTGTTCGATTCACATGAAAGTTTTAAACCCAGAGAGCAGGTGGGGGCAGATAGGGGAGAAAAGCTGCAGGAGGGAGGAATAAAGAGCACAGAAAGGGATGTGAATGAACAGGATAGAGAGTTGAGCTGAGGACAGAAGCAAGCAGGGGGAAAATGAAGCAGTGGAAAAACAGACCAGAAAAACTTTGAAAAAGAGCTTCTGATGAAAATGGAAAGAAGCAGGAGAAGCTGCAGCAGTACAGTGTTTTTTTTTTTTTTTTAACACATTTCTCTGTTTTCTAAACTAAAAATGTCTGGAACATCCAGGAGGCCTGCACAGGACTTCCATGGATTACAGATATGCTGTGTTTGAAAGCCAAGAACTTCTCTTGGTGCCAGTACATTGGACGCTGCTATTTTAGAAACACATTCCATTCTTCTCTTGTTTGGATGTCTTCATGTTAATGAGACATCATCCATTCATGAGAATGACACTCTAGCCTTCATCAACAAACCTTTAATTTGCATTTTTAATATCTAAGTCCAAAGTTTCTGTATTTTTAATAATATTTTTAGATCAAGGGTGGCAGAGGAATCTTCTTTCATGTTTCCTCTGTTTTATCTTTTCAGTCACATTTAAATATTTCTCATCATTAAACAAATTTTAGGATAAGAGAAAATCTAAAAAGTTTTTTTCATGTCATCATTTTACTTATTAAGGGAATAAGTTATCAAAACCAGACTGGCCTCATGTGCAAATATAATTGGTGGTAGAAAAACAACAGTCTAGTCCTGAGTTGGTGCTTCAGGATCTAAACAACTTGCCATATTAGATGGAGCCACAAATTTTGCTCCAAACTTAATAAAATCTTGAAGGAGAAAGTCCAGCTTTCTGCCCTTGACTTGAGCTCAAGGAGACTTGGCTCAGGTGCCATGACAGTGATCTAAAACACACCGGCAGGTCCACCTCTGAGTGGCTCGAGAAACAGAGACAAGGCTTTGGGGTGGCCTACTAAAAGTCTGGATTTAAATCCAATTAAAATCCTATTTAAAGTCCTCAAGCAGGCCACCTATGCTCAAAAACTCTCCAGTGTGATTTAGTTAGTTAATTAAAAGCAGTTCTGCAAAGACAGGGAGAAAACTCCCACAGTTTAAAGACTCATTACTGTCAGTTATTAGATTTAGGGAGCAAAATACTTGTTCACATAGGGCCACATTGATTCTGAGCATTTCCCTTTGATAGATAAAATCATCCTTCAGAAAATCCACTTTGGTCTGACGGATGTTAAAAATTGATGATCAAAAAAAATAGAAGTAGGACAAAAACACAGTTCAAGGTTTTTTTTCACAGGCTTGTATACTAATTTCTATTCTTTCCAATATAATCTGAGAATTGGTTCTGCAGATATCAACAAATCAATAGCTGTGACTATTAGAAGAAATGTATTCAGTATTTAATGTAAAACTCTATTCATGAAAACAATACCATAAGCCTTTTCCACCTTAAATATAGCTTGCTGCTCCCGTGGGTTGAGCATGGCATAAGATAGTGTGATAGAGTGATAAAGCACTATGTGAGGGGAACATTATTAAATTCTTCAGATCGCCACAGTTGCACAAATTGCACACACAATACTTGTGATTTACAGCGTTGTAAGAAAAATGTCCCGTCGCCATCAAGAGCAACAAAACCTGTGCTGGGAAAACATACTGGTCCCATCCGGGCCAGAATACAAACTGCTATAAATTCAAATGTAAGTAATGAAATCTATTTTTGTGGTACTTTGTTTATTTGCACATATAAAGATGAATTTCAACATACAATGGACATTCTTTGAGGTTTTTTTATGTGTTTTTTTTTCCAGAATTGGTCAGGCAAATACCTCGCTGTCTCCACAGCAATCTCTTGTGATAATAAACTGTTGACTATATTCCATTGTTTTATGGAGTTTACTCCTAATGTCTTTGAACTAATAAATTAAAAACATCATCCTTTGAGTTTCTTTTTTGCATCCATTTAGTAGCTTTGTGGCTTTTATAGCCGCCCCAGGCCCTGACCACATGATGGTCACAAGACACAATTTCTGCAGAAAAAAAAAAAACACATTCTCGTACTCTTATTTTCTCATCAGCAAGCTATATTTATGTTCGGCCCTCAGAAAAATTCCCACTCTCTTGAATCAATCCCAGGAAGAACACTTGTGACCGATAGTTGCTCTTGACATACAAAAGTTGAGCAACTTGCCAACAGATAACATCCAAATTAAAGGGATAAGAGAATTTTGTGAAGGCTTTTGCGATCTGTGCTGTCGTCTGTGTGCGTGTGTGCAGTAAACTGCGTTTAAGCATGAAAATTGTCACATGGACATTAATGAAGTACACCAGATTAGTCACGAATGCGAACCATGGTTTGATCAAAGCACACTCTACAATTATTGGACCCCACGGTTAAAAAGAAAACAGCAAAACGTCTTAAAATAAATGAGTCTTCTTTCATTTTCTCAGCATCCTTCATAGAATAAACTTGAAATCTTGCACTGCACAGCTTTTACCAATTCTAGATTTTTTAAACTTTATAATTCTTGTTTTGGGGCTGGAAGATAGGGAAGCTGATGTCACCATTGTCTTGCATGAAGAAGAAGCTGAGTTAAAATCCTGCTCACTCTACATGCAGTGGGTTTCTTATTGGGTTTTCCAGTCCAAAAAGATGACTAGTAGGTTAGTTAGCATCTCTTAATTGAAATTATGTATGCATGTGTGGACTGTAAAACATTTGAGCTGTGTTTAGTTGATCAGAAATCTAAAGAATTAAAAGTATTTTAAAGTAAAATAAGTAGTTATTTTAATTTAAAAAATAATACAGAAGTGTGTGCTTTTAACAAGGTCAGGGCAGTTTCCTTTTCTTTCACATAATTATTTGGTTTAAATTACAGCATGAAGTTAAAACCCACAATTCAAGATTAATTAATTTAAAAAACAATGTTTAGACAACTTGCCTTTTGTAGTTAAATCAACTTCACAAACTTTCATTTCTGAGTTAAAACCAACACATTTTTCTTGTTGCCTTTGATTGCATTTTCAATGCAGCAGGTGGACTTTCATTTTCAAGTTGAACCATCTTCAAATGTTTTACCGTGTGTGTATATGCATGGTTGTTTGTTCTGTATGTTGATCTGTCCAGGCTGTACCCCGTCTCTTGTTGAAGCACTGCTATAGACGATTTACTGGTTTCTTCAGAAAACAGTACATTTCTTACTTGAATGAGATTTTCTCTGTCAAAGAGTGGCTAAGAGAAACGTGCCTCTGTCACACACAATGTCCATCTTTCAGGGAAGAAGGATTTGCAATACATAAAAGCAATGATTCCTCAACGTTGTTTCCCTCCACTGAATGAATGTACGTGCATTGAAAGTTGGATTTTTCTTGTTTTATTATTTCCAGTGTAGGATTATTATTACTACAAATTTGCACATTCAGTTCTTCTTTTCATGCAGAGGTTTGTAGATGTTCTGAATAAACTCTAATTTGTGTCTTGTGAGGTTTAGAAAAAGAGTGGTCTGTGAACAGGCAGACCTGTTGGGTCAGCGAGAGTTTATACACTAATTAGAGCGGAATCCTGTCATCCCACCACACAGAGGCCAAGTTCATTCAGGAGTAATTTAATTGCATACTTCATACCCAAAGTTTTCTTGCTCCAATGGCTACATTGTACGCAGAGGACCCCCTTGCCACCACCTTTTATACGACGGCCTTGGAGGTTGCAAATTGTTTTTATGCATAATTACAGTGAAACAAGAACACTTAGACAAAAATCACCCAAGAAACACATTCACTACACCATAGAAATTTGCATAAGTTGTTTTATTCATAGTTATTGTCCTTTTATATTTTGTATCTCATTGTTTTTGTTTTTTGTTTTTTTGTTAATTTTTTTTTCAGATTTTTGTTGAAGTGGACATCCTGTAAAGCCAAGCTCGAAGCCCTTGACTGAGTTGTTCTCTGAGCTGAAAAGATAGAGGGAAGAGTGGAGAGGGATCTTCCTCTTCTGTCTCTCGCTCTCTCTTTATGTCACTGACAGTATCCCAACTCAACCTTTATTTTCACTTGTTTGAACAAAGAGTGTACCTTACAGTATATTTACATCATAGCGACTCACAATTTCCACTTAGATAACGTAAGGAAGGTTGAACTTTCAAGAATTAGTTTATGATGTTTTAAATTCTTGTTCTTCTTTGATCCACTTTGTCCTCACATAATGACCTTAAAGAGAGTGTTTTCTTGTCATTACATCGATCTAATCTTCTTAGTCATCAACATAACATTTTTCTCAGCATTTCTATATTCATATATCTCTTTTTCAATAGATTCCTCTCTGAGAACTGTACAATCGTACACAGTGTTTGACTTTTATATATATTTTTTGGGAATATATTATTCAAACCCGAGGAAAAAAAGAAACATAATCCCAAAGAAAATATATATTAGTATCCCAAAGTAACAAAATCATGCATGTTTTAATGTATTTCCCATAAAAACAAAACAAAAAAATAAAAACAAAAAAAGTATGGGATCTGGTTTTATTTACAAACTGATCTTGGCACGGTTTTTGTTGTCTCTTGCTGGACTCTTGGAATGGTTATAAACATGATTTTTACTTTTCTGAGTGTAACATACCTCAGGTATTTTAAGTCAGTGACCTGCCATAATGAGCAAGTATGAGATACTTTTTTTTATTTTTAAAGCACATAAATACTGAAAAAAGATGAGGGAGGAAAAAGGACATAAGAGGTTCAACCAGAGAAAAGAAAAGAAATAAGGTGCCTTGCAAATGTGTTTTTACCTCCTGTGCTTCACATTTCTTTCACTTGCAGCCACAATTGTGTGCTTTATTAGGATTTTGTTTGACAAAACAAGACAAAGCAGTGCCTAATAATGTTGGTGGTTCTCAAATTTTACAAACCGACTTCTGAAAAGTGTGACTTGAATTTATATTCACCCCCTTTACGCTGACACCACTAAATAAAATTGGATGCAAACAATTGCAAAAGTATGTTAACTTCTGAGGCCATTACTTTTAGAACCAGTTTCAGCTGTTGCATTTTGAACCTAAAGTCACTTTCTAAACTTCACAAAATTTCTTTTTTTTTGTTTGTTTTTGCCACTTCTTTGCAAAAATAATTAAAGCTTCATTCGACAGGATGAAAATTGTGAAGCTGTGCTAAAGAATCTTAATTGAATTTTGGTCTGGACTTTGGGAATATATGAAAGACAAATATGCGTCGATGTAAGCTTTTGTTTTGGGGCACTTTCTCTAGATGTTGTTACCAGAGTCTTTGCATCCTCTGACAAATGTTCTTTCAACAGATATTGTTCTTTTAACTTTCTGCCTAATCTGTCCAATTTGTTCTTTGGTCTTTGCGATGCCGTGTGTTCACCAAAGTTCTTTAAAGCTAGATCACTCTGTTTGCTATTTTTCTATACATGCTATGTCTACAAAATTATGCGGGTTACAGTGGAACATCGAATCATGTCACATCTAAAGTATGTCATGCTTTTGGTGCAGTTGAGTTAAGAATAGTGCATCTGTACTGGGATCAATGATGTGTAATTCACAGTGTTCTGCTAGCATGTTCTATTTTAACTTACATATAAAATGTTTAATATTTTAGGACCAACTGACTAAGTGAGAGTGAAATGTCAATGGCTGTCTGATAGTTATTAGCTGAACTGATTAGTAGAATAAGAAATGTCTGACCAATGGGATAAATAAAACAATTGTATATGACATTCATTACTCAAATGACTTCTTATCTCACTTTATTTAATTAACTTGGAGGTCTCCCAGATAATGGGGCTGAACACACGAAGTTGAAAAGCAAGCATATTTTTTCTTTCATGTCTCAATTATGCACTGCTTTGTGCTGATCCATCACTCAAAATCTTAATGACATACATGTGTAGTTTGTGGTTGCAATGTGACAAAAAAGTTGAAAAGTTCAAGAGGCAGCTGAACTTTTGCAAGGCACTGCTGTGTGCTGAAAACAAGTTTCACCTTTTTATTTTTTTTAGGTCGTGGCAGTTTCCTTTTTGACAGTAACCCTGTGACATCATATCAACTGATTTTTTTTCCCCTTCAGAAACAGAGATTGAAGGGTTACAGCTCATCAGGTACACTCACTGTATCCAAAATGTGAAGACTCCCGTCTCCTCCCCGACCCCCCCCAAAAAAACAGCATTGATTTGTAAAGATTATATATTATAACGCAGCATTAATTGACTCAGGCAAATAATAGAAAGGGGGAAAAAAACTGCCAGTTCACACTTGGATCTCACTCTTAGGTTTGACAAGAGTAGTCTTGAATTTTCCAGTGTCGCTCTGTCAAAGGAGAGTTGACCCAAATACCTTGTGTGTGGACAAACCATAAAGATGTATGTGTGTGTTTATGTGTGGCGTCTCTGCATACTTAAATTCAGTGCAAACACATAGGGTAAAAATTCCCACCTCAACTACGACCCGGCAGCTCTGTTGACTCAACAGCGATGTCCAACCCGACCAACTTAACACAGATTTTTATCTGCAGTTCTCTCCTGCAAATCCTCGAAAGCAGACACACTAACACATTGCCCACTGGTGGGGGCCAACTGGATCTGAGCTGCCTGCATTTCTCCCGCCGCAAAAACCCACCTAAACCCACCTCCCATCCAGAGTCAGGTCCTAGCATAGCCCAATATACTTGAGATTGTTCTGGATGATCACGTCCGTGACAGCATCGAACACAAACTGGATGTTGCTGGTGTCGGTGGCACAGGTGAAGTGTGAATAGATCTCCTTGGTCTCCTTGTTGCGGTTGAGGTCCTCGAACTGCCGCTGCACGTAGACGGCCGCCTCTTCATAGGTGTTCTGGCCTTTGTAGTCTGGGAAGCATACTGTCAAGGGAATGCGTTTAATCTTCTCAGCCAGCAAGTCCTTCTTGTTGAGGAAGAGAATGAGCGATGTGTTGGTGAACCAGTTGTTGTTGCAGATGGAGTCGAACAGACGCAAGCTCTCGGCCATGCGGCTCTGTGTGGGCACAGAAACACAAAACTCAAGAACAACGAAAAGGCACGTTTCATGGCTAATGTGAGTTTCTGATCAACACAGTTTGTAATCTTCAGTGGGTTTTGACATTCACATATGAAAATCAGACACAAAAGGTTTCGACAACCTGTCAGGATGAAAACAAAAAGAAAACAGCCTTGTACGTCAGAGACATCAGCTTGACCAACCAAATGTGCAAATCGTCTGTTGTGTCAACAGAGATTTAAGACTAAGATAAACGGAGACCTCAGTTTGAACTCTCATTCTCTCCCATGAAACTGTCAAATACATCTTCAACCACATTCAACATGTCCGGTATTGTGAAATGATCAGCTAAAGAGGACGTGCTATTTAATATTTTCGCAACTGATAACCTGAATGGACTGTGTGAACAAAAGATAAAATGAGAAATGTTCACGTTTATAGTCTGTGTGCAGTTTTATTTTTTGCAAAAATAAGTTTGAATGTACATGTTCATGACACCTGCAAGAATTACTTAGGAGCTTTAAAATTAACATAGTTTTTTTTTATTTGTTTGTTTTTATTTAAGTAACTATAAATAATCACAGCTCATCACTGCATTATTAAACAACTTTCTTTTAGGACAAACTAAAAAATGCAATGAAAGTTGTTGAATTAACTTTTGTTTTCAGTCTAAACATCATAAAAATGTGGTTAAAAAGTTAAAAAGTTGCTTTTTTCCTGGATTTACATGGGGACGAGGTTCAGTCATTCTCAAATGGTAGTAAAATACCTGATATCAAGAGTAGCATGGTTTTTACCTTTACCTTAAATCTTTAATCCAACATATTAAGCATCAAACCTGAGAGTTTTATTCCTGCTATTAATTCTCCCTGTGAAAAAATAACCAAAGTTCATACATTATAAAAAAAATAAAAAGGATGAAAACATTTCAGATTTTTTGTCATTCTTTTGATTTTGTTTTGGACTATTATGAGAATTGTTGATTCTATTTGGGTTTTTACAACCAAGCATGCACAGCTGTAAACTGTTATATATGTGAAATTAGTAATTTGTTATGATTCAGGCAAAGAGACAGATAAGTATCTCATTATTGTGTTTTACAAGCATCTCATTCTGTAAATAGTTGATTCTTAATCTGTGCTATTCTACTTATTTGTGGAGGATCACAATGCAGGGAGCAAAGCATCGCCAAAAGGAGTTACATGTAGCAAAATAGGTAAGATGGCCTGTCAGCTATTTACTTGGGATGTGTGATTGGATGAGGTATAATTTCCTGCATATAAGGTTTTAATTGAGTTAGCCAACTTCATCTCAATTTTCAGATCATCTGCAGCTTTTTCCCATTTGTGATTTGATTGGCAGTAGACTGCGTTCGTTGATTGACCAGAGGATCTACGTCACTGGATGAGCAAGGATGGTCATTACAAATTCCTCAAACAACAACATCTTAACCGCTACCATCAGTCCGCAAAATGACAAGCTGCAAATTGATAATTCCACGGTCAAATCTGCTGGTCAGAACCTTTTCGTCAATTCTGGCAGAAGAGCGTCAGCTGGACAGAGTAACCCACAAAGGAGAAAATTATCAAGAGATTTCTGAGAAACTGGCTGAAAAACATGTGCAAAGTGACATCACTGGTCCTTCAACCACCTCCTGAGCATAAAAGTTCCCATATATCAAGGAACACACTGTCAACTTGACTGGGACCCATTTAGTTTTCTTTATCTGTATGCTCTGTGTTTGCTATGTGACCTATTAGCTATAAACAACCTTGACACCTTGACACATTTGGTTATTGAATCTCATTTGATTCAATAACCAGTTAAATAGTTTGCAGAGACAGATAGATTCCCACATCTAACCTGGAGTATTTTAACCCTCCTATTTGTTGGTTGTGTGGGACCAAGCATATAATCATGTCTTGGGGAGAATCTGTGCACCCTGCACTCATGTGATGTTGAATGTATAAGAGAAAAGAGAAGAATAGAAAGTTGATCTGTTCATGGCAGCTGCTGGCATGTGGCGACTAGCCAGCAGCTTGTGACTGGGAAGATGTTAGATGGAGGACTGCTGTTTTGAAAGGTTACAGAAACAACATGCTCGAAGCAAATCATAAGATCTGCACTGCATGGAAAAAAAAAGTGGAAAAAGAGAGAGATGCTGATTGTTCAATGGCGTAAGCGCAATATTTTTGGACTGAAGGAAAATGTTACAGTTTTGAGAAAACAGGTGAGCGAAACTTTTACATACATATCAAAAAACTAAATCACAGAAGATACTGAAGGCTGAGAAGACAAATAATGAAAAGCAGCTTTATAATGCATTCTCAGAAGTTTGCATATATCTCACCTGCTACTGGAGTCATTAATAACTCCTGTAGCTTAAATCCAGATTTTTAGCCTTAGAGGCTAACAGCTAATATGAAACTGTACATCCCAATACAAAGTGGATATCAATGACTTTAAATTGACACTAGTCTCAAGATGTAGTTGTGGTTCATGCAAATAATTTTCTGAAACCTTAAAACATTTAAAATGGATAAAAGGTTTGAATCTAGGTTGCATACTTTTGCTCAAACTGATCACTCAAAATGCTTCCAAGCAAAAGATTTATTCACTAAGCTCCACATACTATAGGTGTCATCTGAAAACTAAAAATATCCGCTTGCCTGTGTAACCCGTCTCAGTCTCTTTGCTTCTAACGTGGAATCTGGTTCATGTCTACTGAGCAACATGCTCACAAATTGCTGCCAGGAAAGAAATTTGACGTTTATTGCACTGGGAGGATCTTCAACAAAAAATAAAAAATGAAAAAAATCCAATGATCAGTTGTTCCTTGTGGTTATTAACATCTCAGATATCTATAGTGACATTCTTGCAGTCCACAGAGAATATTGTAAAGGCTGAGGCATAAAACTTCATATTCTTCATCTTCATGTAATACATTTGCTTTTGCACTTATTCACAAATATATTTTTTCCATGTAAGAAAAAATTTGAATAGCTTGAATTCTTCTAGGACATTTTAGATAACAGTTCAAATTGAAATGAGAGGCCAACCAATATTAGACAGCTTGTTTTTAAAGTTGAGACAGACTGGAAACTGAAGACTGGGCCCTAAACATTGTATACAGCACAAAAAGCTGTTGGGATGTTTGACCTCGCTCTTCCTCTTTCCTGCATGTCAAAACATGACTGCGACTGCTTTGAGAGGACAGCAGGAGACAGCCAGCTGAGCCCAGGGAGGCTCTCGTCTCTTCTGCTGGCCACTTCACACTTGTGCTGAAAGATTTCTTAATGGGGAGTGCAAAGGAAAAGGTTAGCTGGGGGGAGACAGGAACTCTAATGTATGCAGCTCCTCCGTTCTTTGCTTCAAACACCAACAACTGATGCAGATTTTCTCATGTACAAAAGCATAGACAAACGCATTGGCTTAAATTAAGTCTGAGAATTAATGAGGAGGTCCACCACAATGTGCCTGCTTTGTTTCCATAAATTAAATTAAAAAAAGATTTAAATGTGTGGCCACACCTGCATGATTCATTGAGGTTCATTTTTCATGCAGCCTTATGAGGCCAGGCCTCTTTGCATTTAGCAGCAAACTCATTGTACCTGAGAGCTGCATTATTTAGGATTTGCCATCTTTGTTCTGCCCCTTTTTTTTAAATTAGTAATGTCTCAACATGCGGCAGCCACACTGCAGAACTCAGAGCTGAAATTACATGAATTTTTGAATCTGAATTATTTTCAAAGTATTCTTATAAAATCTAATCATTTTGTCTGACATTTGCATGTTTATGGTTTCGCTGAGACTTACAGACAATAATCCTCTGAGCCGTGCATGTGCCTTACCTTGATTTGGGATTGCATAAGAGGAAGGTCATGCCATCTCCTCTAAAGGACAAACTAATAAAAGATTATTGAGGATGACAGACAAAATGGACTGAGACAGCTTTGTAGGTGAAAGCAATGACATGAAACCTGTAATGCTGTTTTAGCTTCTGTATAATAAATCAACATCCAGGTGCATTTTATCAATATTCAAGATCCTGAATGAAACCAACTTTTTTGAATAACTGGCATGAAAAATTCAAGGCTAGATTCTGGATTGTATTTATTATATTTATTCTGAGTATTTTTTTCTAAACTCATTAGAAGATATTATTACTGATCACTTGTCAGACGCTCCTCTAAAGTGCATATGGTGGACAAAAAAATTGAACAAAATAAAACATTATTAAACCTGCCATAATGGAAACATCTTAAAAGATGTCATTGTCTAATGTGAAGGAAGAATTGCTAAAATAAGCAAGCAGTTAGCAGTAGAAAATTGATCCTGCAGCCAGGGATGATATTTACCAAAGAGAAAATAACAACCTTGTTTTTTTTTTTGTTTTTTTTATTTCACAGACACTAAATTTACAGCAGTTTTGCAGAATCAGCCATTGCTTATTAATCTGCGCTCCACATTCATGATACCACACCCATTCATAGACTTTCATAGACTCATGCACATACATGCATGCACATGCAGTCTTCAGCCATGTTTTTTTTTCCCTTTTCATCCTCCCCTACCTCATCGCAGCTCACTGTCAACAGCGCTAGGATTAGGAGCATTTGACTGGCCTGTTTCTTAGCAACAGTAACCATGGCATCCGATTCATTATGAAGACAGGGATGGGACAGAGAAATGCATCAGGGAATGAGCTGATTGGTAAATGTACTATAATTATTATGGAGCGTTTTCTTTCTCGTGTGACTTTGTGCGTCTCGACTGAACTGCTTTCATTTACGGACGGAGGGACGCTATTTTCCGTGTGTGTCTCCGCACGTCTCCACCCTTCAAACCTTCCAGCTTTGAAGGGTGTAGCCATTACAGTGACTGCTGGCCAAAGCAAGGCAATGATGTTAAATGACAAAGTTTTTGTTTTGTTTTGGGTTTTTTTTCCCCCCATCAAAACTGTTCCAGTGCTAGACCAGGGTTGGTTCTAATGTCAG